CGAGCACCGTTGATGAAGCTGTAATGGCTAATTTTCAAAATAGGATATTTAAGAGAATATTCTAGTGGATATTCTCTGCGCTTGTACTATTAGAGTTTACTAGGAATATGTCTCATATAAATAGGAAAAAAGGCCATGATATGAGGTATGGGATATTCATTTGTAAGAACAGACTTTGACAAAAAAGATTCTTTCTCTCTTACTAAGATACAAACATTACATTTTCACTAAGATTTTTATCAATATTATTCCATACTTTTCCATCAGATCCGAGAATAATTCGAACATTCAAGGATTTTTCTGTCACTCATCATTGTAAGGAGGGACTGTGAGCACGTGATTTTTGCCATATATATGAATAATTCCCAAAAATTCAAACAAAATGATTTTCCTTTATTTTTACAATTCTTGTGAATTTTTGGTGTCATTTCGTGTTAATTGTTTGCATTTTATTGGTGCATGTTGATTCATATAAAACACAAAAATATGCATTCGCGTTTTAGGATATAAATTCATATTTTTAGGACCGATTAGGGGTTAATTTGTTGAGAACAAAATGTGAAAAATCACAAAATTAGTCTTTAAACAATTTTAGGAATTAATTAGTCTTTGTTTTGAAATAATTAGGATTTTATGTTAGTTTTGCATCTTTATAAAAATTATAAAAATTATTATTAAATTAAAAATGAGAAAAGGAAATAAAAGAGAAAAGAAAATAAGGTTAGAAAAGTGGTCTTAATAAAGACCCAAATTTGGGCCAATTCGTTGAAAATTTTCAGGCCCAAGCGCCCTTAGACCCGTTCCAACCAGATCCAGGCCCAATGCTTCAATACCCGGCCTACCCCAATCCAGTCCAAAACGACGCCGTTTCCCCAGCCTTCAATCACGACCGTTGGATCTCATCAATCCAACGGTCTGGATCTAACTAGGATGTTTGGTATATAAGTGTCCGAAATTCCCCCCCTCGCCCCATTCGTACCGTGTCCTTCATCTTCATGAACCCTAATCCGCGCCGCCCCCAAATCCCTCGCTGGCGGTGAACGTCACTTACACCGTTCAAACCCAAATTAACACCATAGATCCCCCATGAATCCCTCTTTCCATTCCCGTTATTGGTTTCCCTCGAATGTTGCCAGAGTTCGTCGAATCTCAGTTTGAAGTTTTCCGGCCAAGTCGCAAGTTCATCCAAACCAGCCCAAAATCATACCACACAATCCCCGGACTTCCATCAACCCAAATCCATGTCTATTTTCCTTCAAATCTCTGTGAAGCGGCTCGAATTTCAGATCTAAGAATTTCTGGCCAAAACCCTAAACCAAAATCTTTATGATTTCGAACCGTAATATCCTTAACCATGTGTTCTCTTGTAAGAACACATGGTTAGGGATGTTGCGTGTCAAAAATCTGAAAAGATTCGGACGTCAGGCACTGGCCAGAGTTTTCGTGCTTCAGTGACTTTTCTTGTTTCATTCTTTTACTTTCATTTTTCTTTTCCTTTTTTGAGTGAAGTTTTAGTTACAGTTTTTATTTTGATTTCGGTAAGTGTCTTGTTAGTCTTGTGTTTAGTCAGTAAGTTTTTCCATCTCTAGTTCTAATTTGGTTTGATTCACGCTTTGTTTAGTAATCGATCATAGTTTTAATCATCTTAATCGATTAGTTTTGGGTTGATACAATTCTGTCCGTTAACTATTAGCTATAGGTTTAGGTTAATATCGATTCTTTCTTCTGTTTAGATTTTGAATACTTATTTAATATTGGGTTGTTGGTATAATTAGATTGACCTGTGTCCTGTTTTCATGAAGTCGGATTTGGAAGTCGTTTGAGACTGATTTCAGGTAGTATTAATTGTTGTTCAATTTTAGTAGTAATTGAAATAGTGTTTAAGATAGTCTGTTTGGATATAGCTGAATAATTCATCTGTTAGCTAACTTCAGCTAAGGGTAAATGGGTCTAGTATAACCAACTGAGGTTAGTAATTTTAAGAGGTAATAAGGGTAGTTTAGACATGGGAAAATGGTAGTTCTTTAAGGATTGATAATTTCAAAACAGGGGTAAGGGTAGTAGAGGAATTGCCTAGCTAAAAGAGCACCCTAGGGCCTTCTAGAAGGGTACTTTAGTGTAGATGGTAGCACTATAGAGGTATTTACTTGTTGAGCAAGTCAAAAATAAAGGGACTAAACTGAAAATAGAGGAGGGACTAAAAGGAAAACTAAAATCTGATTAACCCTTTGGGTAGCACCTATAAAATGGCAAAAAATGCCTTGAGGAGGGGGCTTCTTTTTTTTGGAGAAAAGTTCACTATTTCATAGCTAGTTTGGTAGCTGAGTTACAAAATTTCAGTTCCTTTTCTAGTAATTTGAGTGGTCAGAACAATTTCTGGTTGGTTCGAGAATATTGGAGTTTCAGTGATTCTGTTTTGGTTCCATTTGTTGAATTTTCGAGTTTGGGATGTCCTGGCTGTGTTAAAATTCAGTGTTGAGTCCAAATTTTGGATTCTGAGTTGCTGGGTTGTTGATTCCTTTGTTTTTGGATTGCTGAATTTGCTCCTGAACTACGCTGTTGCATTGCAACTTCTGATGCATTTCTCTTTTTGTTTCCTTTCAAATCTCAGGTACACGCTCTCAGTCTGTTTGATGTACTGTGAACATGGAATATAATTGTTGCCCTGGAATTGCAATACGGAAAGGATTAAGTTTAGATATTTCCATGTTTGTTTGATACTCACAGTTGTCTTGATTGAACTGTATATGCGAGACCTCTAAATAGGCTGTATAATTGTATAATTGATATATGGCATATAGCCGTAGTGTATTGTAACTGAGTCAACATGGTGGTTAACTTTAGTTTTAGAATAAATGCTGTCAGTATAATATATTGTGGTTTACAGAAAACAGAAATGAGGCATAGAAACAGTAGTATTTTTAAACAATGTCTCTGTTGCAATTATTAATATCAACAGGTGTTTGTTAATGATTAGTTTGTGAGTTCTAGTACCTTAGCGGCATAGTTTGAATAAATATGACAAGTTCAGGATTATATTTGGCTTAATTTATCACTTTGATAGTGCTTAAGGTAATTCAATAATTGATTAGTTAAATGGTTGCTCGCAGTTCGTCATTTGTGGTCTATAAGCCTGTTAGCTCAACGAGGGGATGTAACATGGGTTTAATTAGGAGATGGGTCCAATTGGTGGTTTGTTAATCCAGGGGATCGATCCCCAGACCTCTGCGAGCTCAATGGCTATGGGCCACTTCAGGCCCAACGCTTGCATTCACAATAGCTTTCCTCCCAATTGTGTTGGGCCCTTTGAGGCCCAAGACCGGTTGTACGTTTTTAGGTTGTAAAATTGTCGTCATTTTTAGATTGGCCCTTTTAACAAAAATCGATGAGACGAGCCTCACCGAGCAAAAAGAAATAAATGTGGGGCCGTCAATAATTGGTTGATTAAAAATATTTTAGACTTCGGGATAAGTCGTTTAGTAAGTTTCGCGATTCTCCCTAAAGATAACAACGCGTTAGGCCTTTTAGGAGTGTTTTAAATTAAATTACTTCCTTAAACTGGGGTGCGCATTGATGCGACCCAAATCCAAATCTCGACGAAGTCGAAATGTGTTGACGACCACGGGTGCATTGATTGCGACGTGGCTCGAAATGTGTTTTCACAACGTCGCAATTCTTTTTAAATAAATAATGATAAAAAGCAAGTTTTACGAATAAAAGGCACATAAGCTAGCATGTATTAAAATCAGATAAAATCAAATACAACAGTTGAGCGACCGTGCTAGAACCACGGAACCCGGGAATGCCTAACACCTTCTCCCAGGTTAACAGAATTCCTTACTCGGATTTCTGGTTCGCAGATTGTAACAGAGTCATATTTTTCCTCGGTTCGGGATTCAACCGGTGACTTGGGACACCATTAATCTCCCAAGTGGCGACTCTGAATAATTAATAATTAAATCCCGTTCCTATTGTCCTTTAATCGGAAAAACTCCTTTGCGCTCTTGCGAAGGTGTAGGTGAAAAAGGAGGTGTGACAGGGACAATCGTCTAGTTCATTCTTTATTGGATGAATCATTTCTCCTATTTACTTAAGTATCATTTATTGTTATTCATTGCTATTAAATATTAAATTATTATTTATGCCTATTGGAATAGTTATTGCACACCATTATCACTATTTGATCAGATCTATATGATGTTTATCATACTTTCGGAAGCTACATCTAGAAATATTATTGTTAATTAAGTTTAACCCATTAATCAACAATAACAACTACCCAGTAAAATCTCATAAAGTAGTGTCTGGGGAAGGTAATGTGTACGCAGGCCTTACCACTGCCCCGATATGGCAGAGAGGCTGTTTAACCCATTAATCACATAAATTTAATTATTTGAACCAATAGTCATATTTTTTGGGTCAAACGCTAATAGTAACTTAATAATTAATATTGAATATACGAGATAATGTCTAATGAGTAGGGTATTGGAGTTATAATTATTTGCATATGGATAATGAACAAAATATAAAATATAAAAAATTTGGATTTTAGGATATCTAAAAAATACAAAATCAAACATTCAATCCAAAATCTAATTCGTAATCCGAAAAAACAAACAGAAAAGTTCTAAAATTCGAATTTCGACTTTGCCCAAACTATGTCCATTCATATTGATAAAGGTGTTTCATTTATTATGTATACACAAAATAAATATAATGCTAAGTACATTTATTAATTTTTTTTTCAATCATTAGGTTAGATTAATCGTTAATTTCGTTTTTATGTTACCAAAATTACAAGTAATTACAGCTTTTCTGAAACAAAATTATACAGTATAGGTATTTATACGGTTTCTACATAGGTCGCTGAACGAATGAGCGACTATGGGTCAACTAAAAGATTGTCTGACTTTGCACAACGGTATCTGATCAGTGTACAGAAAATCCAAAATTATATCAACCACACATTAACATTTCCTGTGTTAAACCTCGCTCTCATCATCTCTCCACTTTTTGTCTCTCTGCAAATTAAACTCCACCTCTAGGGTTTAAGGTTTAAGCCTCTCACACATTTCCACTCTCGGTGTTTCACCTAAAACCCTCACACGCGCCATGTCACTCTATGGCATCCTCCTCCGCTCTCTCCGCCGTTCGTCCGCCGCCGTCAGACCTCAAATCACGCCATCCGTTTACCCTCACCCAACACCACAACCACCACCTCCTCAAAACCCTAACTTCCTTCTCCCTCAGCGATCATACGCATTTTCCTCAGCCGAAGAAGCCGCCGCTGAACGCCGCCGTCGCAAGCGCCGCCTCCGTATTGAACCGCCAATCAACGCCCTCCGTCGTGATCCACTCCCGAGGGGACCGCCTTCACCCGACGACCCTCGTTCCCGTCTCCCTGATACCACGTCAGCATTGACCGGCCACCGGCTTAACCTTCACAATCGTGTTCAGTCTCTCATCCGCGCCGGGGATTTGGAATCCGCAGCCGCTGTTGCTCGTCACGCCGTTTTCTCAAATACACGGCCGACTGTATTCACGTGTAATGCTATCATCGGTGCTATGTATCGCGCCGGCCGATACAGTGATGCTAAGGCTTTGTTTCAGTACTTTTTCAATCAGTATAATATTATTCCTAACGTTGTTTCGTACAATCATCTCATTGTGTCACATTGTGAAGCTGGTGAAGTTGATGAAGGCTTAAAAGTATACAGTCATATTCTTGAAAATGCACCTTTTAGTCCATCTGCTGTGACATATCGTCATCTTACTAAAGGATTAATTGATTCGGACCGTATAGCTGAAGCTGTAGATTTGCTTAGGGAAATGCTTAATAAAGGACACGGTGCAGATTCTCTAGTTTATAACAATTTAATATTAGGGTTCCTGAATTTGGATAATTTAGAGAAAGCTAATGAGCTGTTTGACGAGTTGAAAGAGAGGTGTACTGTTTATGATGGGGTGGTGAATGCTACTTTTATGGACTGGTTTTTCAAGCAGGGGAAGGTAAAAGAGGCGATGGAATCGTATCGATCCCTTCTTGATAAAAAGTATAGGATGGTTCCTGCGACTTGTAATGTGCTGTTGGAGGTGTTGTTGAGGCATGGGAGGGAAACGGAGGCGTGGACTTTGTTTGATGCCATGTTGGATGATCACACACCACCAACGTTCCAGGCTGTGAATTCAGACACTTTTAATTTAATGGTGAATGAGTGTTTTAGGTTAGGGAAGGTTTCAGAGGCCTTGGAGACCTTCAAGAAGGTGGGGAAGGGTCTCAAGACCAGACCTTTTGCAATGGACGTTGCGGGTTACAATAATATGATAACGAGACTTTCTGACCTAGAAATGATGGAGGAAGCAGAAAAATATTATATGGAGTTGTGTAACAAGTCATTGAGCCCAGATGTCACAACTTATAGGACAATGATTGAGGCATATGTGAAGATGGAGAATGTTGAGGGCACGTTGGAGAAATACACGAAGATGGTGGAAGCAGGGCTGAGAGTCATTCCAATCTATGCTGAAAAATGGTTTAATTTCTTGATTGAGAAAGGCAAGGTGGCGGAGTGCGTCCCTATTCTGACCAAGATGGGTGAGAGAGAACCAAAGCCTGATGTCACAACTTATGATATTGTGATTAGGGCACTCTGTGGGGAAGGTAATTATGATGCGAGTTCCAATTTAGTAAGTCAGATGATAAACTATGGTGTTGGTCTCACCAGTGCCCTCAGGGAGTTCCTGTTAGATGCTTATGGTAACCAAGGTCGTCGTGAGGAGATTGAAAGAGTTTTTGCTACAAAACCGACGTACTTCCCATCTTCTAGATCATCAGGGCCACCTCGAGGACAAGTTCCATGGCTTTCACAAATACCTAGACAATCAGCAGTAACTTCGCAGGTTCCAGGTACTCTACTAGTTTGCATATTCCCTAACTTCTATCTTCTTCTTTTTTCAGTAATTGCTGATTTTATATAATTCTTTACTTTATTTTTAAATTTTTGTGCAACTTTTGGCAAATTTCATATTTTTTTAAAAGATAAAAGAACCTTCTTCTGCCAAGCAGGAACGTTGAGAAAAATTTAGCCCACATCATTGTACGGCACTAGTGTCATTATCTACATTTAGCCCACATCATTGTACGGCACTAGTGTCATTATCTATACCCAAAAGTTGCTGCGCTGATCATTTGCTACCTGTCAATTCTTGTATGTCTTTATGCAGCCCAGCAGACGTCACCACCTTCTTTTTTCGGGGGACAAGGATCAGCACAAGTGCAAAGTCAGCCTTCAGCTCGTAACTCATTGTGGCAGCAAAATTCACCTCCCTCTTTCATGGGAGGACAAGGATCACCACAAATGCAAAGTGCAGCATATGCTCCTAGCTCCATGTCGCAACAATCTTCATCGCCTTCTTTCATGGGAGGACAAGGATCACCACAAATGCAAAGTGCAGCATATGCTCCTAGCTCCATGTCGCAACAATCTTCATCGCCTTCTTTCATGGGAGGACAAGGATCACCACAAATGCAAAGTGCAGCATATGCTCCTAGCTCCATGTCGCAACAATCTTCATCGCCTTCTTTCATGGGAGGACAAGGATCATCACAAATGCAAGGCCAGCAGTCAGTGCCTAATCCAAGGTGGCAACAAACTTCACCACCCTCTTTTGTTTCTGGACAAGGATCACATCAAATGCAAGGTCAGCCTTCACCTTTTGCACAAAATCCGCATCAGGCACCATCACCTTCTTTCACTCAACAAGGAGCTTCACCACCGTCTTTCATGAATGGACAAAGATCACAGCAGATGCAAGGTCAACAAGGAGCTTCACCACCGTCCTTCATGGATGGACAAAGATCACAGCAGATGCAAGATCAGCCATCAGCTTTTGCAAGAAACGTGCAGCAGTCCTCACCACCTTCTTTTGTGCCACAACAAGGAGCTCCACCACACTCTTTCATGGCTGGACAAGGATCACTGCAAAGGCAAGGTCATCCACCACCTTCATTCATGGCACAACAAGGAGATTCTCACATGCAAGGTCAGCCATCAGGTTTCACACATGTTCCACAATGGTCATCTCCATCCACTTATATGGCAGGACAAAGAGGAAACCATCAAATGCAAGGTCAGCCATCAGGTTTCACACAGACTCCACAAAAGGCGTCACCTTATTCCATGGACATACAAAGAGAGTCTGCTCATACTCCACTAAATGAAATCTCACAGGCTTCCCAATCATTTAGAGGTGCCCTCGAAATGCAAGGTCCAGCATCAGCCTTTACACAAATACCTAGGCAAAATATAAGTCCTCAAGTAACAGAAGAGGCATCATCCCGAGGGGACAACATTGAGCAATACCCCCAAGTGACAGGCCAAGGGAGAATGTGATTTGTGAAGCATAGTTTCTCTGGCGGGCGTGCTTTTGTTACAGTTATCTGATTAGTACTGCAGGAATAGGAAACCTCCTCTTGATGGCGCATGCTGTCACAGTTGATGCGGCTACGATCATGGGTTAATATGCATCAATAGAAATCATTGGCGAATTTTGTAGAGAAATTGGTGGGTTTAGGGTGATTTGGGTTGCTCATAAGTGAATACCTGTCCTTGGTGAAATGAATTAAATTGTAATATTGCTGAGAAAATATTCCTATTTATTCTATATCTTGTATTCTGGAATTTTCCCCTATCATATTAATAAAATTAACCTCATCAAAAAAAATATCTCAGTTGTGATTTTTTTTAAATTTTGATGAATGTCTTTGTCAAATAATGTATTTAAAATAGTCTAAACCACGAAACACTTGCTCATTCACATGTCTGTAATAGAGCAAAAGAACCAAGCGGCATATATTATCATTAGGGCTTGTAGATAAGCTACTAGTCAATGTAAATCATCTGTCCCTTTCTTGTTGATGTTCAGCAATGACCACAGGTTACTGCTTTGGGACTTAGTGTTGCAACCTTTGGGGTCTCAGTCCACAGGACATCAGCTGCTGCACCACATTCTTGGTTGGTAAGAAAACACAACCTTCATTATGAGTAAATATAAGTTCTATAATGTGGCAGAAGTCAGCCCCAACACTTGTCTCTACACAGGTGAGAAACTTTCTTTTTGAGCACCCATTATGATCATCATCCGTTACTAGTGCTTATTATGTGTTTTCCATATCTCAGTATCATTGACTGTCGATAATTCATTTTCTAGTTGTTTCTGAAATCAGAACCCTAAAACGGTTAGACATACCTTAAAAGAATTACTTTGATATGCTCCAATTGGTAGACATCTTAATTATCAGCAAGCCTCCCAACAACCTATTGGGGGTGTTGGGCCTAACTTCGGTACCTTATGATGCAGAATAACTAATTTATCCTATTGACGAGTCCTTAGAACAGTTCCTTTGTTCTGGAAAATCTCTGTGAAATTTGCTTTAAAAATATGAACTGTTGAGAAGTATACTAGACCTGATGTTAATTTAAGTAATTTGGAGTTTGACTTGTCAGTACAGAAGTCACTGAAGCGCTCGAAAATATTGCTGCTTGCTTGTGTTGACAGCTTTTTTAAATATATAATTTTGATCAGCTCTTTTTTTATTTTATTTATTTTTTTATTCTTTCAGAAAGTTTTAAAATCTTATCTACTTGTGAAAGATGTTTCATTCGACTCTGTAACTTTAAGAAAAATCAATAGTATCAAGATGCAAAAATTCCTATATGTTATTTTTATTCTCATATTAAATCTTGATTATCCAGTGAACAGATATGTAGCTTTATGTGACATTAGAACCTGCTAAGAATAGAAGCTTCATTGTGGATGTTTTCCTTGAAGAAGAATAGAAGCTTGTATAAACGATTCTCAGTAGATTGCTTGTCAGCTACACAATAAGCAAAAATCATTAGTGTCTACAGTGTGATGTGTGTACTTGTGTTGTCAAATGAAGTTTTAGACTAAAACAACAACCCAGTATAATCCCACAAGTGGGGTCTTGGGAGGGTATTATGTGTGCGTAGACCTTATCCTCGCCCGCTGTTTCCAATAGACCCTCGGCTCAAGAAGATGAAAAGAAGTAATAGAACAGTAACAACAACAAAGGCTAGAGGGAGAGCACCAATAACCGAAGAACCAGAAAAATAGATGGAAAAAGCAATAGCAATAGCCGGTAACAATGGCAAGATACAAGGACTAAAAATGGTACTACAATAATTAGTTCTCAGAAAAGATGATTGTGTACTAAATGCTTTCCATTACAGTTAATTTGTTGAAAGAAGCCTCAAATGCTTTAAGCTGCCTAAATGATCTATATTTGCTTTTGCTCTCTGGTTCCGATTTGCTACTTAAAGCTGCTGGGACCCCATTCGTCAGAGCAGGTGTCGTTGGATCTGGTACAGCTAGCATATTTGATGAAGTTGTTCAGTCTTCAAAGCAGTCGAAGGGTAGTGACTCAACTTCTCACTTTTTCTTTTGACATTTACAAAAGTAGCATATGCCACAAACATGTGCATCAGGGCTGACACTTGTATTTGTCATTCATTTAGATCCCTTGTATTTGCAGAAAGTGTCGAAGTGAAAATATGACTGATATTTTGTTTTTCTGTCACTGACTGAAAACTTCTTTTGATTTCATTATCAGCAACCGGTAAGGTTTTTGCTGCAGAGCGTCTCCAGAATGGGAACGATAAGTGCACTGTTCTTTGTCTTGCTTCAGCAAAAGCGGGCACTGACATTGGTGTGCACGATATTGCTCCTCTATATGTTTCTGTCGCTCCTCATTCTCCCATTCATCCAATTTTTACAGAATTCTCTTTTCCCATGTATTCACATTCTGATTTCTTTTAGTGCTCTAGGGAACTTGTAATTTCTATAGAGGTGTCTTTTTCTATTTTCAACCATTATCCGATAAAGAAAAAGAGAAAGAATAACCACAAAAATCATGGCTTCCGTTCCTATTTGCAAGCCGTAATTAGTACACAGATCCAGATTCATCTGATATCTGCAAGACTGCAATTGTCTCACCTTGATATTTCGTGTTTAGTATGTAAATTTTCCTCAGCATATGTGAAGTAGTCTTGAACTGACATGCGGCTTCTTTATTTCCAGAGGAAGGACTTGCTGAGCAGGGATTTGAGGTAACTCGTTTGAAACACATTCACAATGGCACTATACTTCTTTATTGCATCATTGGAGAAAGAAATTCATTTTTACTCACACGGGACTAGTGTGCTTGCAGATTTGGTTACTTAGTAGATGGTGCCGACTGCTATTACAGCCGTGCAAGGAAGCTGCTACACCAACGTCCTGTACAGCATTCTGGCAAAAGTCGGCCTTATACTTTTAGCTCTTCCTGACATGACTAGTACTCTCAGAATTATGTAATAGTGTTCTAGCGAAAGTCGGTCTTATCCTCTAAGCTCTTCCTAACATGTCCAGCTAATACTTCCAGTACTATGTAGGCGACAATAGTGAATGTGTTTGTCAAGGTACTGCTGTTATAGACTTATAGGTACATAAATTTAGGGTATCGGTCTTTCAAACGAATTGATTTGTGGGTGGTTGTCTGTCAAAGCACTTGCTGGTATAATCTAACGAGCAACGAAAGTATTAATGTATTAACCTAGTGTTTAGCACTGTGTGGCTGTAGCCGTCGCCGTTCCCTCCCTATTCAGTGGTGGATCCACTCTATTTGCATTGAGATCTGATCTTAACATTGATATTTTACATTATCTTGGGTCAACATAGGTTCCATTTAGTTTCTATCTATCCTAATGCGTCGTTTGTCGATCTGGGGCATTGACGTAGATTGTTTGAAGAAAAGGAGTAATTTACAAATCCTTGTTCCAGTGGTGTTCCACTGCTTAAATAATAGCAGTTCACTAATTGCACTCCAATTTTATCTTATTTTTTCTTTAGAAAAAGTTCCTTCTTTTATGGAATGTGGGCTAGAAATGTAGCAGGAAAAATGTTGTGCCAAATGAGAGCATAATTATGACTTAGTTAATTCCTTAAATACGGCATTGTTTCCTCTGAGATAATTACATTAGAAAGCTTGTATGTGTGTGTTGGNTTTACTGCGAAAAAAGCTACAAAAACATCTTGAATATCGTTATCACGGTAATTCCCCCTACTACAAGAAAAGTAGTGGCAAATTTCACCGTCTGCACCGGAAAACTAATATTTCTCCTCATTTTTAAGGACCTAAGTCCTCTCCAAGAAATTCTGTATCATGTACTACAAGAGTCAAATAACTCATAATGCCGACTTGAACTGGTGAGCAAAAGATCTAACATCAAAATCAATCACAAGAAAGGGTGAAAAAAGATACCCTTATCTCCCAAAATTTCTCTTCAAAATTCCAACACGTTGGAACTGAGGTTTAGTAAAGGTTCTAGAGCACTTGGTTCAAACTTTCTGGCAAAGAGGTGACAGACATGTGTTTTTTCGTAGTTGTATGAACATGCTGTTCCATTGTTCCTTATTGACTTTAAGAAACCTTCAGTAATATTAACCGCGCTGAATGTTGCAGGGTGCGGACCCCCTAAGGACCAGTCAACATATGTCACTGTCCGGTTTGCATTTAAAGGTCCATAGAACAATCGAATAAAAGTAGGAATATAGTGCTCATCGGGGTAGCAAGCAGGTGTGCAAAGTCTTCTGAAGATATCGTAGTATTTGGTATCTGAAACTACCCTAACGGCTAAAGTTCGGTTCATCTCGAACCATTGCGATCCTTTTCGCCAATCAGAAAGTTTGATATCAGGTTTCATACGACGGTTATAGCGGCCCCGTCCATAGCGAGAAGGATCATCATATGATTCAACAAAACTATGAATGGATCCAATAAGATACTTGTAGACAGTTGGGAAGTTGTAAACTGGAATACAGCTCTCAGAAAGGAGGACAAACCGCTCATTTGAGAAGTCAAGCAGGGCATTGGCCAAAAGCCGCCTTTCAGCATCAACCAGTGTTACTGATCCCCATTCAACGTGCTGAAAAGAAGAAGAAAAATGGTTAGCTGACTGTTACACTATTACATCAAGATCCCAAAGATCATTTAAACATTAGAGAACTTGTGGATCAGAGTCGTAGCTAATTATAATCTATATGTTAAATGCACAAGTCACACAAACATATGATTTTCAATGTACTTAGTTCATTGAGACAACTCTGTCCAATGTCCTCCAACTCCGAATCTACATTCTGCATGATTTCTCACTCCTGCTAAAAAACCATGTTGTAGGTTTAGTCGACTTGAGTTCTAGATTGATAACCAAATAGTGATTGAAACAGAATTATGGCAAAGTGGTTGATGACTACTAAAAAAACAGAGCCCATTTCTTTAATCTCTGCATGTTAGAGGAATAGACTACCTTATTTCAATGTATCAGATAATGTCTGTTCCTTGCTCACTTCACATAGCAAAAAGTTTCCAAATATGAATAGTATTTGTATTAAAAGGTCATAACAAAAATATAAAGAGGAGGTGTGCGCCTTGGATTGTGATAACTCTAAGACTGACCAGGACCTCGTGAAAAAAAAGGTCTCCATGTTTAGGTCTTATGAAATCTTTGAGTTCACAAAAAAGCAAGAAAGGAAGATCCATGTCTCTCCCTATCTGAACCAATATTACATACCTAGCCCAGCTCATAAGTATAACAAATAACTCGGCTCCTCTTAAGGGCAGTGGCGAAGGCACATTGTCCTAAGGGTGATCACACCCTTCGTCAAAAATTACACAGTGTATATAGGCAAAATATTAGGTTTTAGAGGTATATAACATATATTGAATCCCCTTTGTTGGTGAATTTTTTCACTTCTTTCAAGTTTGAACACCCTTGAGAAAATTCGTGGCTTCGCCACTGCTTAAGGGGTTCCAGTAACATTACTCAATAGCTCTCGGAGTAGTGTCATTAGTGACCAGGATGATACTTCTCCTAGCACCTATGCGACGAGTTTGGCTCCGTCGTTTGTTCATAGCTGATAAGATTGTTCAAAGAAGATTTAATGGTTACAGGGTCCCACATGTTTAGGAATTGAAATTACAATTTTTCAGACCCTTCATTGATAGCCTTAATCCTTTGATTTTCTCTCCGATACCATGTGTAAGACACACGAAAGTATGTGATCGAAATTGAAATTGAAAAGGAAAGAACAAAATCAGAGATTGCAAAAGAAGATAATGCTGAAGGAAAATCGGTTTTGGTTCTTTTGATAAGAGATTTATATTCATAAAACGTCATTACCAATCTTGCTATTGAGGAAATGCGAAACTGCTTTCTTGATGAATTCATTAACTCTTTTGGCAGGCTTGTATCTATATAATTGAGCAACTGCGGCCCTCAGTCCCCGTCCAAACTTGTGCCACGAGGACAGAGGAAATGTTAGAGTGACAGTTAATCTGCAACTAACGCAAACTTCAGCTTTTGACTCCTCACTTGAATTACGTACAAGACTACAACCTGTTGCACCAATCATTTCACCTCTCCTTCTCATCAAACCTAATTTCGAGGAAATAGAGGTGCATCCAGGACTTGGTTTGTGAGGGGCCAAAAATGGTAACTTTTTACATGCACCAACTGAATGCAGTCACATAAAGGAAATGCCTTTATATATATGAGATACATACGTGTGTTTGTGTTTTGGAAGAGGGTAGTGGGCATCACTATCAGTTAGAAATTTTAGTTATCACAACCGAAATCCATATAGAAGATATGCATACACGAGATGCAGATACTTTTTGTCTATTTGCACCGGTGCAACTCGGTGCACAAGGCATGCTGCATTCACGCAGGTTTCAGGGAAGGGCACCCAAAGGGATGTGATGTAGACAGCCTAACCTAATGCAAGCATTAGTGGTTGCTTCCACGACTCGAACCCATAACTTATAGGTATACAGAGATAACTTTACTGTTGCAATAGTGGTTGCACCAGCAAATTAAATAAAAATTTCCCCATCTTGATTATCACAGCTGTTCCATTCCCTTATCAATGTCCATTATTTCAAGCATAGCATATCTGCTGAGAAATGGAAATTCTAGCATAAGGCCTCCCTCTTATTCACATCCCACACTGCACGATCATTCCCCGAACTACAATCTCCGGCTAGAACAACATCTTTTTTTTGATAAGTCAATCTACGAGTAGAGTAACATAGGCATGTCTCCCTTATATCTTAAGGAATGAAAATGCAATAAATTTAGTTCTGTTCTGTCTTTGGTTTTCCAACTCTTCATTGTGAATTTATTTGCTTGAAGATTATGTTGCTGAATCAGCAATCCAGTCTCTTATCTTCTGTCTAGTGTCATCTTTGGAGAAAACTAAATCACAGTTCACAGAGGTCAATAGTTCAAACAGTATAATATAGAAAGTCATTGCCAACCTTGGCAGTAGACAGCACCATTTAAAAAATGTTTTAAAGCATCTTCTCATTGATTTGCCTTAGTATAGTAATATGTGAATGTTTTACCATACTTTTTTATTATATACTGTCACACACCGAAATATGTCCTCAAATACCTGACAGACAAATCAATGACTCAATATTTGCACCAAAGGAACTGACGACACTCCAGCTAGAAATTTCAACTTTTAAGCTGCTCATAAAAGCATTTTACAACCTCCCAAACCATCCACGGACAAGTCAACGTGCTAAAAGTTCTTCTTTACTTCTCACTTAACATGAACTTTGTACTATTGAAAAACTTTGTAAAGACAGAGTGTATTTCAGCACTCTTCCCAAACTCAAAGAGAACTAGCCTGCATCTGTTGTGTGAATATAAGAGTCATCTCTCAACATAAATACATTCACACATTCCTTGTGAAAACAGAACCAAACTAACACATTCTTCTATGAATAAAAAAAATAACATATGCACAAAAGAAAGCATTTCCTAGGCTGGCACACAATAAGCATGAAACAACATCAATCAGACAATCTTGAATACATATCAGCAAGAATCATATATACCTGACTTGGGACTTGCCGCTTGTAGAAAACTGAGGTATTTGAAATACTTAGCACATATCCTGGCAAGGCATGCACATATATAGAGTACTTATTCAAATCCTGCCCTTCAAAGAACCTCTCCCACAACGGTATCAACGGTAATTGGCCTCTAGTCAAGAACATAAAAGCCACTTTAGGCACTCTCTTAAATGGGAAGTCTTCCTTATAAGGCTCTAATGAAGCCCTCCAAAACAATTCATCATCAGACATTCCATGAATCAAAATCTTTGGTCTAACAAAACTTTCCATACTTAAACAATCCTCTTTCTCACAAACACTACAATTTCCATTATTATTATTATTATTATTAGCTCTGCTCACTGTATCAGCCAATGCATTATTTGCAATAATTTGTTCAGCTTGAAAAGTAAAGTACCTATCAATATGTGAACTTGAGGTCAATCCAATAACTACTCCAACTACAAATACAATCAAAGTGGTTAGTACCTTTAAAAGACTAACTGTTGAATCTCTTGTTACTGAAACCGGTAGCCTACTCTCCAGGTCATTCTTTTCCCCTTTATTCCTCATCTTCCCCTTTTCTTCCTCCAAAAAATTCTAAATTTTTGACTCTCAAGGTTCTAGAATCATCTAAAGATTCAACCTTTTACAAGCAAGATTCGAAACCCAGTTCCCAGAATTGTGTAATTCAGCCTTTGAATTTGAAACTGGAGAAAAACCCAGATGAAATTTTGCTACTACTGTATTACAAGAAAAAAAAGCAAAACAAGAAATCTTGATGGTTTTGGATTGTGATCTATAAATCAAGAAAATG